TTCCTTTTGGATGAAGTGCCAATTCTGGGTCAAGAAAAAGTCAAGATACTGTCCACTCGAACCTAAACAGGGCTATCCCTACTGTGGACTCCACATGCCAACACTCAACGGAGAAGAAAAGAAACAGTGCCCGTACAACAAAGGACACTCTATCCCAGTCTCAAAATATCAGAAACACTTGGAAACATGCACTTTTAAACCTATTCTGCCAAAATGTTACTCAAAAGACGTGAATGTTGGATCAGAGTCAAAACCCATCCAGATTGAGTTGAATCAAGACAATTTCTCTGCATTCTATCAAAAGATCAACCGATTGTGGAATACACTGCAGATGAAGATCGAATCAAGAATTTTGGATCATCCAGTCATGAAAGAGCGATTGCTAGAGTCACATGATGGCAAACATAGTCTGCAACAAGCATCTCTCATTGGACACATTCAATCCTGTGGGTTTCTGGACACTCAGCACACAATGATCGAGTTTGGTGCAGGAGCAGGTGAAATGTCAAAATATCTGCACAAAGCCAGTCCAAACCATCACTATATTCTGATTGACAGAGAAAAGGTCAAGATGCGTATCAGCAAAGAACTTAAACGAGACTCTTACGAACTCTTGATCATCGACATCAAAGATTTGGACTTGAATCTGTTGACACAAGATGACATTGTTGGTTATTCCAAGCATTTGTGTGGATGTGCGACTGATTTGACACTCAGATGTGCCCTCAATTACCAGAAATGCAAGGGATTGGTGATTGCATTGTGTTGTCATGGCAAAGTGACCTTTGGATCCTACATCAACCATGGGTTTCTTGAAGAATGTGAGATTGATGAAGAACAATTTCATTTTCTGAGACAATGCAGCACTTGGGGTGTCAGTGGCATGGAACGCACACAAGAACACTGGTCTGGGTTACAAAAAGAGGAAATGCAGAGATTTGGTCTCAGATGCAAACGCATTCTGGATCATGGACGTGTCCTGGCACTCAGAAACCAAGGCTATGATGCACATCTGTACTATTATTGTTCACAGGACACGAGTTTGGAAAATGTCGTTCTAGTGTGTCAAAAGAAGGATTTGACACCTTCATAAGTTCCTAAAAAGATAGATCCACCAATAGAAATCCACATCACACGGGGTCCGATGCCACTAAAGAATCCCTTTGCTCCTTTTGTTGCATAAATATTCTTGACAATCCTCAAAATGGATGCTTGTTGATCAGACTATCATCAAACAGGGTACTTTGCTCGAAAGCATCAATCTGGTCTTGATGACATCCAGTGGTGTTGTGAGGGCAGCAGCAGTTGCACCAGCAATCGCTCCACAGCAACCAGCTTCATAAGATCTGATCTCACGATTGAGATGGATCTTGAGATTCAGTTTCAATCGCTCATACAGTGGAAACTGAATGCTTGAAAATGGAATTTCACGAAAGACAGTCATGAGATAGCCACGATACAATCCAAAGAAGCCGTCTTGCTTCAGGATGTTGGATAGCGTAGATTTGACACTTGAATGCATTCCAACTTGCATCCTCTGTTTGACGATTTCAGTTGGCACTCGAACAAGACAAGCCATCATTTCTCCAAGTGAGGCTGCCCACATGTGATTCAAGGGATCATCAGATGTCTTGAAGTACTCGTATGTGACAAAGAACATGCTGGCAGAAGGAGCTGATCCAGCAATGCAACTTGACAATCCTCTGTAGATGTTCGTGAATCCACCTGCGCTCTGGAATCCCTGCTTGGACTGCAGTCTTGTTTTGAGTGTGTCTAACGGAAAGAGCAAGAAATCCACAGTCGTTCCAGCAACAGCTCCTGCCACCAAGTTGTCAATCATCGTGTCAGAAAAAGTTTTCTAGAGAAATGAAACCAATCCTTTTGGCAGGACACACTAGAGCACTTACTAAAATCAAGTACAACAGAGAAGGCGATCTCTTGTTCTCGGTTTCAAAGGACAACCAGCCATGTGTTTGGTACTCGCATAATGGCGAACGATTGGGCACCTTTAGTGGACACAATGGTACCATTTGGGATTTGGATGTGTCTCATGACTCTCTGAGACTCTTGACAGCCAGTGCAGACAGTTCATGCAGAATGTGGAGTGTTGAGAACGGAAAACAATTGTTTGTGTGGCACACCAAGACAGCTGTCAGATGTGTCGCTTTTGCAGAAGGAGACAAGATGGCTTTGTTTGTGACAGATGCTGTCATGGGTGAAAAGTGCACGATTCACATTGTGCAGATTGAACAAGATCCAACAAAGCAGACCGAAAAAGTATTGAAGACAATTGTCGTGCCAACCAACAAAGTCACGACTGCTGTCTGGGGACTCTTGAACAAGACAATCATCACAGGGCACGAAGATGGCACGATCACTGTTTGGGATGCCAAGACCGGCACTGCCTTGCACACTACAAAGGAACAGACTGCTCAAATTACAGATATCCAGTTCAACAAGGACAAGGGATTCTTCATCTCTGCGTCAAAAGATCACACTGCACTCGTTTACGACTCTGAAAACTTGTCAGTCTTTCGCAAGTTTGTGACTGAACGTCCAGTGAATGCTGCTGCCATTTCACCTATTCGTCCACACATTGTCCTCGGTGGTGGTCAGGATGCCATGTCCGTGACAACAACTGCTGCCCGTCAAGGAAAGTTTGAAGCCCGCTTCTTCCATCTTGCGTTTGAAGATGAGATTGGTCGTGTCAAGGGACATTTCGGTCCAATCAACACCATCGCCTTCCATCCACTTGGCACTGGCTATGCATCTGGTGGAGAGGATGGTTATGTCCGTGTGCATCACTTTGATCCAGACTACTTTGAGTTCAAGTACCCTCGTTGATTTTAGGTTCCCAGTCGAAGACGAAGAATAAGCCACAGTCTGTTTAATGGCGCATTAAAAACAGCTAGTATTCCAACTCTTTCTTCATCTGTTTCATGTATCTCGTGTTCCTCATGCGTGTTTGTGATCGAAAGACCACATTTGACAGTGTTCTCTGCAAGCGCTCATGATCCAAGTCAATTTGCTCAATCGAATACTCCAACATCCATTCATCTTGTTCTGATTCGATCATGGGTTGCTGTACGACATTGCCATTGACTTTGGATTTGATTTTGATTTCATACTGTTCAATATCAGATGGACTGATCTCACCTTCAAAGGGTCTCTCAGACACAAACAAGTGCAGATGGTTGTTCAAGGTCTGTGCAAACAAAATGTGAATGTCTCGTGTTGGATGGTTTTGAATAACGTGTTCAAATGTCTTTTCGAGCAACTGACAAGACAATTGGAAGGAATGTTCTGCGAAGAGTGTGCTTGTAAACAGATCTTGATCCATCTTTTCCAACGACACGTATTCGAATCCAAAAATGGTTTCTAGATTATGGTAGCATAGTAGCACACCATCCATGTTGCCAATACGTGCTTGGAAGCTATTATCAATTGGAGTACTTGTACTTGAGGAGACCAGATCGCAACAAGTCATAGTATTCTCTCTCAAACGAAAACCACTTGCCAGTCTGTTGCTTGATCTTGTATCCCACATGCTCTTCATAGTGCATGACATCCATTCTGATGGGATGCGTTGCTCTTGTCTTGAGATCAAACGTTTTCTTTGGCAAATCTGGATGGTAGCAGTCCAACTGTGCTCTTAACAGAAAGTTGCCAATCTGAGCATAGTGATACGCTTCTGGTCCATCCTGTGGCACACTTGTACTCGAGAGTTTGTATTGCTCAAAATCTTGTGGATCGGTTGTCAGGAGCTTCTCCAACAGCTTGCCCATGTCCATCAGAATAATCTTTTCCTCCTCTGAAGGCTTATCTATGGCATACGTCCCATTGTAGTGCTTCAGGATGCAATACACTGGTCCCTTTGAAAATGCAGTGAATTCGTTGGTCAGAGACTTGAATGACTCTGGTATCCTGTCTTTGCTGATCTTTCTCATACCAGAAACCAAGTAATACATCTTGGTCATCAGACTGGTCATTGATGATGTTGACGAACAAAATTTGTAGCCTTGCAGCACAGCTTGATCCAAGAGTGCCATGTCCTTGGAAGCTGACTTGTACTCTGACAAACTGGACAGTCTGAAATCACTTACTTTTGGCAAGTGCTTGAAATCCTTTGGCAACAATTTGTAGTCGTCGTTTGTCAACAGATGAGCTCCTTTTTGAAACAGATATCTGTCCAATCCATGTTTTAACAGCGGGGGCACTGTTCTTTCACTGTGCTGAACTGTTTTCACCAACAACTTTGCCGATTTCAGCATCAAAAATGAAAACTTTCAATGTGGCGAATTTCACTCATGGACTGACTTCCAAACAAGCTGGAGGTACTACAAGTGACAGCAGTAGTTGAAATCATGATACTCCACGCGTTGGACAAAGTGGTCTTTGCAAAGGACAAGTTTCTCAAAACTGTAGATATCGTAGAAGCAAGCAAACGGCACTTGCAACCCACAAAGCAGCACAACGACGAGACGGAGAGTGTTCAAATGGAAGATGGCTCGACGCGTCAGATTCCAGTTCATCTTGCAACCTATGAAAAGACGATTTACAACATGGAAAAAGATCTCAGAAATGCCAACATGGTCCTCAGTCGCTTGCTCTGGTCCTACGAAATCCTTCCCATCAAGGACAATCCAGACATGCCACTCAACTATGGCGACTCTCTCAACTGGAAACAGATTCACTACAAGAAACTTAGAACACAACTCGAAGACATCTTCTCCAAAAAGCCTCTCCTGCCACTCAATCCAACACAACGCGTTCACAAACAGCCATTGAGGAGATATGATTCAGAGCGTGTGATTGAGTTGGATCGCAAGTATGTGCAGATGAATGATGATTCGAGCCCGTTGGTGCATCAGTTTCCTGCACTGCCTCAGAAAGATAAAGTCAATTAGAGACCACACTTCAATCTAAAACAAGAAAATAGCGAAATGGTAAAATGGCATGCAGTTTAGGAATCTAATAAACTGATTGATCCCATTTCCAACGCGGGCATAGTATAGTGGCAGTACGCTTCGTTGTGGCCGAAATGGCGTCAGTTCGATTCTGGCTGCCCGCAAACCTTTTTGTTTTCTCTCAATCCTCTTTCTTTTGGATCCATGGATGATGTTTTTGTAAGGATGGAGATCTGTTGCACAGATTATTTTCTTCAGATTATTCTTTCCGAGATGTTGTTTGAAAACCAAACGTTCCCACTTGAATTTCAAGTACATGATATAACAACAGGCAGTGCTCCTGGCAGGCTATGGAAAGAAGCTGTACCCACTCACAGAGGACAAGAATGCACCAAAAGCACTGCTACCAGTCGCAAACAAACCAATGATCTACTACGCACTGCAATGGCTGCAAGAAGCACCAGTGACGGATATCATTATTTGCTGCAGCCAGAGCAACCGCACAAAGCTGGAGGACTATTTGTTCAAGGTTTACCAAACACCAACAGCAAACATCAAGCTAGTGGATGTTCCAGACGATTGCACATCATGTGAGGCATTGAGACTGTGCAAGCACTTTATCACTACTGATTTTATTGTCATGCCGTGTGATTTCATGACAGAGATGAAGCCAAATTCTTTGCTACACACTCACATTGCTAGAAATGCAACTGCCACTTGCTTGTTGTATGACGATACGAGACTGGAAGTGCCTCAAAAGGAACAGCAAGATCGTGAATTTATTGCACTGGATGAAAAGGAGGGCAGACTAGCGATGATGAAAGTGCGAACAAAGACAGATGATTTGGATGTGCAAGTGTCTCTGTTTCGCAAGTTTCCACAAGTGTCATTTTACACCCAACTAAGAGATTCACACGTGTATGTGTTCAAGCGATGGATTATGGATCATTTGATCAAGCAGAAGCACTGGCACAGTATCAGACAGGATTTGGTACCAGCACTGTTGCAGTATCAGCACAAGGTGGATCTTTGCAAAAAGGATGGTGTTGACAAATGTACATGGCTTGAAACTAGTTGTGAATCAGGATCCACTCTTGAAAGCCAGGATGATGTCCACCAGTGGCTCTCATTCGCAAGAGCTCGTCTGTCTTGGCATCGTTCACAAGGATGGTTTCAGTGCCAGACTGAATACGATTGCGAATTACGCAGAAGTCAACAGATGGATTGTCAAATCACTCTCTGATCAAGACAGAATTTCACAAACCAGCACAGTCGAGCCAAAGACACAAGTGGGACAAGATTCAATGGTTGGAGAAGGCACAACGATTGATGAGCGTTGTTCTGTGAAAAAGACGATTATTGGCAACCACTGTGTCATTGGCAAGAACGTCAAGATGACTAACTCGATTATTATGGACTATTGCACAATTGAAGATGGGTACATGATCTCATGCAAGTGCTAAACTAGAAAATGTGATTGTCTGTCACAGAGCCAAGATTGAAACCAAAGCCAATCTCAAGGATTGTGAAGTAGCTGGTGGAGCAGTCGTCCCAAGCGATGCACAGATCAAGGGAGAAGTCATCAACAAATAAATTGCACTTTCCGATGGACTTTAAAATTGAAATTTGGCACTTGCTCGTCGCTGCGGTGCTGTACTTTTTAGGCTTCCTCACTGGCTTTGAGATCAACAGGCAAGGGAATGAGAATGAAAAGAAGACCTTGCGCAATGCCATCAAGCCTCCAAAAGACACTGACATGAAAATGGTTCTTTTGGTTCGCACCGACTTACCAATGACCAAAGGCAAAGTGGCTGCACAATGCTGTCATGCTTGCCTTGGTGCTTACCAAGAATCGCAAAAGGAACCAATCACCCGCGGCTATGTTGATCACTGGGATGACAATGGATGTGCCAAGATCACATTGAAATGTCCCGATGAAGAGACGATGGTGAAGATGCAGCACAAGGCAAAGGAGTTGAAGTTGGTTGCGTATTGCGTGCGTGATGCTGGTAGAACTCAGATTCCACCTAATTCAAGAACGGTGCTTGCTATCGGACCTGCACCGGTTGATCTTATCAATCAAGTTTCTGGCGAATTGCAGCTTTACTAATAAAGACTTGTCAGATGAAAAGTAGAGGATAGAGTGGATCAACTGTTTATAGACAAGGAAGCATTTAAGAACGCTCACCTCTGAGACGAGTGGCCAACTGGATGTCCTTTGGCTGGATGGTGACACGCTTGGCGTGGATGGCAGCCAAGTTGGTGTCTTCAAAGAGACCGACAAGGTAGGCCTCGGAGGCTTCCTGCAGCGCACCAATGGCAGAAGACTGGAAACGCAGATCGGTCTTGAAGTCCTGTGCAATTTCTCTCACAAGACGCTGGAAGGGCAGCTTGCGGATCAAGAGTTCAGTCGACTTTTGGTATCTTCTGATTTCACGCAAGGCGACGGTACCTGGTCTGTATCTGTGAGGCTTCTTGACACCACCCTGGACTGGAGCAGACTTGCGGGCTGCCTTGGTTGCGAGTTGCTTTCTTGGTGCCTTACCACCGGTGGACTTTCTTGCGGTTTGCTTGGTACGAGCCATGTGCTTTCCCAACCAGCTGCGTGCTTATATGCTCTGGTCAGAGAACGGGGGAGAGAACAGGGACGTGGCACGCAGCAAGGAGCGCGCAAGCCACGAAGCGTATAAAACGAGACACATTTCCAGCCAGCACAATGTCTGGCAGAGGAAAAGGAGGAAAAGGATTGGGCAAGGGCGGCGCCAAGCGTCACAGAAAGATCTTGCGTGACAACATCCAGGGTATCACAAAGCCAGCTATCCGCCGTCTGGCAAGAAGAGGCGGTGTCAAGCGTATCTCTGGCCTGATCTACGAAGAAACCCGTGGTGTCTTGAAGACCTTCCTCGAGAATGTGATTCGTGATGCTGTCACCTACACTGAGCACGCCAAGAGAAAGACTGTGACTTCCCTCGATGTCGTCTATGCGCTCAAGAGACAAGGCAGAACCCTCTACGGTTTCGGTGGTTAAGCGTTTCTTTCGAAACGTCTTTCTATAAAAATCTTATTGAACAGCACTCTTTGTCTCCATCATCCGGAAAGTTGAGATCTTTCGTCTGTGGATTTGCATATCTGAGTAGCAAAGTTGTCTAAGGAAGAACTCGTGACAGATCAGCTTTGATCTCTCGACAGCTGATGCCACGAGATGTTTCAATTCATGCAGTTCTGATGGACTCTTGTTTCAACTGTCAGCTTTATTCAGTGTGCTTGTCAAAGGGATGGAGAGTGAGAACTGCAGCAATCAGCCAGGTGTTTCCTTGAGACAATCAGTCACTGAAGCAAGAAGCGTCTGATAGACTGAAGATAAACCACTGATTGACCACCGACAGACCGCCGACAGAGGACCGAGGAATCGATGGCATAGACCCTGACAGATGTGTGTGTGGATTCAACGTGCGCCGATGCTGATTGACTGCTGCCACGTTGCCAAGAACCCAAGACCGAAGACGACAGTGGCCCAAAGGAGACTCTGGGGACACCTGTATCGATGGGAACGCCAACGCATCCTAGGAGTGAGAACCTTGGGACTGGACGGCAGCAAAGGAACTGGCAACAGACTAGCAGTGGTATCTGCTTTCAAACCACAAGCGGCGTGCCTCTCCTTGCGCACAGATTCCGACCCGCAACCCGCTTTCGCCATACTATGCCATTTTGAGCAATTTGAATGAATAATAGCATCGGATGTAGTAGATTTCAGGTGTTTGATAGCTCTTGCTGGTGAATCCAAGCACTGCATCTGTGAGGACAACATGTTCAGTCTTCCGACCTGTCTTCCAACCTGCCTTTCATCTCATTCCACTGTTTCTTGGCCACAAGAACCCGATTGGGAGTCGCCACTCGTGTGGGTGGGTCTCTTTGGGAACACTGACCCATTGTGCAACAGCCCTTTTGATGGCGCTCGTAGTTGTGCACACTCGATGGGGACACACGATTGTAAATCGTGGTTGTATTCAATTGCAAGTAGTTCGAAAGGCGTCCCGAGCCTGGGTCCAGTCGGAGATGAGTAGAACCCATGGCTTTTTGGTCTTCCACGAGGGGTGGCTGCAGTCTGAGTTTATCTGCTGAGTTTTCAGCGGAGTAGTCATTGTACCCAAGCGGGGGGTGAACATGCTTGTCGGAGTCAACTCGCGTGGGACCCTGCCGAGATGATCTCCGTCAAAGCGTAGACTTGGTGTCACCACTTGCCGTTCTTTCCCGAAAACATGTTTGATCCAAGGCTTTTCGCTCTCTTCTCAGCACCGAGCTCACACATGGACAGAGACACATTTGCATTCCTCTGGCCGAGAATCAAGCCGTGCTGGAATTTGTTCAAGATGGACGAACAAAATGGAACTGTTACCCGATTCTTCAAGTGTAAATACATGAATCCCACCGATGGTAGGCTTGTTTATCGTAGCCGTTCGCGGTGCTGGTTGCCAGTGCGTCTTAAAAGTGTCAAGGCTTCATGATCAACTGTATGTCCAAACTGTTGGGCAACACACCCACGGCATCGAGGAAGTGTTGGCGATGGATCAAAAGCCAGACCCGATGCAAGAGAAGCTTCTCGAACTTGCACAGCTCACCAGAACCCCCTTGAATGCACACCCGGTGCAGATCTTGGACGCATGTATCCAGCACATTCGTATTCTCGAGTCACAACTGAGTCGGAAGCATTCCGTTGATCCCGAGTCTCCCAAGATGTCGATTTCCAACCTCTTGAATTAGTGATGTGCATAAAGTTTGTTTTGACCAAATGCGGATTTCCATATTTTCTCGGCTGCGGTTGAACTCTTGTGGCTTGAGAGATGAAGCTCGATGATCGACCCTCGCACAGGTACCACAAGTGTTGCACAGGCACCCGAAGCTTATCGCCTGGCACTCGTGTTTTCTCAAGCTTTTTGGATCCCTTTCCTGAATGGTCCTTGCAACGCTGTATGCTGGTAGATGCCAGAAAGAATACTGATACCAGTGTTTGCTGATGGATGCTGAATGTTCTTTGCGACTCTTGATGGATGGGCTCAGAATGAGTCATCTGGTGTGTTCTTAGATTTCCATCTTGCATTCATTCGTCCCACCAATTCTGACAGAAACAGAGCATTCTCCTACCTCCTTGAGACACATCTGAGAC